GATAAACAATCAAATCAGTATTTTCCACTTTTTAATCAATGTTCCCTTATATTATGTATAAAAATCTCACTACCTGATTTCTTTGTGGAAAATGCCTCTACCCCCTCCTCCAGTTAGAAGTTTCTAACATGAAGTTGAATTTATGTCTCCTGTATAACCCCATTGGAAGAGGATTTTGTTAAACTTTACTACTGTTGTCTAAATTATGTACACTTTTAATTTTTCAAATACACAATTATTTTATAACATTGAATGAGCTTTTTCAAAATAACACAATTGTGGCAAATATACCACAGTAAGGTGTTGACAATAAGGACAATAAGGGAAATAAGGTGTGTGTGTGGGGTATATGGGAACTCTATTATCTTTGTAACTTTTCTGTAAATCAAAAACTATTCTAAAAGGAAAAATTTATTTTTATTTTAAGAAACACCCACACAATTCTGATGTGAACCTTTAAGCCCTCAAACCCAACTGCATTGGAGAATTAGTGATACATATCCCTGTGAAAAATAGTGGTCAATGTCTCTGGTCTGTTCTAGAGCATTTCCCTCTGAGGTGACAGTTTTTACAGGTTAGCATTGAAGTTAGACAGACCTGGCATCAATTTCTGGCTCTGCCACTATCTAGTTGTATGATTTGGATTGGTTAACTAATCTCTCTGAACCTTGTTACCCAATAATTAAATGAAGATGATAATACTTGAGGATTAAATAACATGCATAAAGCAGTTATCACAGTGCCTGCCACATAGTAAAATAATAATTATTAATATTGTCATTCATGATCCTTCATCCTGAAATTAAAAATACAGTTAACTCCATCATCCTCTGGCCCACATTGTCTGATCTCATCCGTGTGCATATGATAGCTGGCTTTGATGAACTGAGATACAGAATTCCTCTCCCCTGTCAGTTGGGACAATGAAAAAGGACTCCAAGGATTCTGGTATCAGACAGGTCTGAGGGGAAAAGCACCGGTGGGGCCAGAAAACTCAGGTTAAAGTCCTGCCTCTCTCCTTTACCTCCACGACCTTAGGCAAGTTGTTTAGCACCCTGAGAATTTTCTCGTATGTAAAAATAATGACAAAGTTATAGCTGCCCCAGTCGCCAGTATCTTGGTGAAGATCACATTAAACAATATAAGTCCATAAAATTGCTTTGAAATATTGAAATCATTAATATATTTCACATGGACTATGTCTAATAATCATTATTATTTGTTAGTAAAGAATTTTTATTTTTTCCAACTGATCATTCCTCTCTGTTTCTTTCCCCCTCCCCTAATTACTCACAAACAGTGGGCTGAGGAATCTTACAGAATTTTGCTGGAGAAACACTGCAAGCTCATAATTCGAGTTATTATAATATACAATCTCCTCCTTTTAGAAAAGTATTACAGATTTTGCCAAGCTCTGGTTTTACAGCACCTCCTTTTAGTCCATTATCCCTACTTGGACCACATCTGCAACTCTCCTCATTTTCAGGATATGTAACTGAACAGAATCAGGCTCCTGCAATTCACCTGAGCCTTTCAGGAGTCATAATCCACTTGCTTTACTTAGAGTACGTCTGGTCTCTTCACATGTGACACGCAGAGAGTGACTCGTGTGGCATAAAGTAGACTTGAATTTGATACCAGCTTGGTCCACAACTAATTGAAAATGAAGCCAACAATATAAATATTGTAGGGAGGGCATTGAGGTTAAATATCTTTTTGGTGACAACAACACATAACATTTACTGAATTCATACTTTTTAAGTTATTTATATACATTACTTAGGTAAAACCTGAAGTAGGAAGTAGGACTCAGTGAAATTGTTTTCTATCCATTTATCAGAATTTCAACTTTGCGAGCTTCCTCTTCTTGCATTATCTTTTTTCTTATCTTCTTTCAGAATCTTGTCTCCTTTTCTTTTGCCTGTGTTGGAAACCTCTAGTTCTAAATCCTACCTCCACCCCAGGGTTTTCTTTCTGGGAAAACTGAAAAATTCTTACTTTTCTAGCAGAGTATCTCAAACTTCTGTTCCGTCAGCAACTCCTCCTGTTGAGATTTAGGCCCCGAGTCATCTGAACCTCTTTGTATTTACTAACTTATTTTAAGTTTATATTTAAATTTAATTGTAGAGACCTTTACTAAACATTAATAGATATGAAATTTTAGTGAGGTCATGATCGGCAGAATCTTTATAATAAGTTACATAAATATATAAAAATATAAAGTTGCATTTTTCTTTATCTAAAAGACAAAAGTAGAATGGTTTTAAAGAAAGATTCTCAAGAGCATTGGAAAAAAGCATAAATCCATCACCACCTCTTACAATAGATAATTGCTTTGAATTACTTAAACAGGCTTGATATTTAAAAGCACAATCTATGTTACACATTTTAACTTTTGCTGACATTAAATGTATATTGATGCCAAAGGAAATTTGATACATGAGAAGCCTACGGCACTGAGCTACGAACATCAATAATATACGCACAATGATTCGCATCACGATAAACCTGTGCCCCATTGGGCTCTGTATTTATGATCATTCCAAACAAGAGAAATCATTTTTGGTCAGGAATAAGACTCCAATTTCTATGTCATTCTAACTTTCCTTTTCAACTTCGCTTTATAATCAATGTATGCTGACATGTAAAATCTCTGTTAAAAAAAATCTCCTTTCCCTTTGCTAGACTATCAAAATTCTCCTCCCTGGTTAAAAAAAAAAAATGCAGCATTCATTTCATCCTTGTGATCTTCTTTCTTATAATAAAAATTCAAGACATCTTTTTTTAAAGAAATTGTACTTAGAATACATAAAACTCTTTCCTTAAGGAGATGAGAAGGGGAAGCACATACACTCATACCATGAGGTACACTGTTTCATTCTATAAATCTCGCCTTTGTCCATATAGTTCATACTCTTTTGATACAGAGAAATACTGATGATTGAGCTATAACTAGATTCAGAGGTTATCTATTATGCAACTGGTTCATATAAAAATTTGCTTCAATCTGCATAAAACTGTCTATCTCGTGAAAGAAAAAATGCACACTATTTTCTAGAAGATTAAGTTCTCGTAATGAACAACAGTGGCCTCTGCTGGTAACCGAGGTCGTGATGAACAGAGGTCTAAGTTCTAGGTTGCTGAAGGCACTGCCTTTATCCAGGTGGATCTACACTCACTTGGGATGGTTGTTGTTCACTTGGTGGTAAGAGGACTGTAAATTCAAGAGGGCTCCCAGGATGAAACTGCTAGCTATGGACTTAAATGGACTCACATTATAGTTCTGGAACTTGCCATTTCTTCCGATCAAATAAATTCAAACTTCTCTGCTTCAATACCACAATTTTAAGATGACTTTTTCTTTCAATAACGAGAAGTTGAGAGTAAAAAGAGAGTTGGTGAATTTCACTAAATTTTTAAGAGTAATAACTGTGTATAGAATACAAATACACATTCCTTGAAGTTAATTTGCTTTACTTCTTGGTATACATCATCTGATTCATAAAATGCAATTGAAATTACTTGAATATATTGGAAATTCAACCTTGATCTTCATAGAAACCATAAATCTTCTACCCACAAAATACTGTGTATCCATGTGAAGGCCACTACCTAGCACTTTATGCAGCTTTTGGGCATTCGTCCCCTAATAATTCTGAAAAGAAAAATAAAATAATATTTGTATTTTAATAATGTTGGGATTATTTTCTTTCTCCGAGAAAATATAAAATTACTTTCAAAATGTATGCTAAAAACAGCAAACTACAAGGTGACACATTTTTCCTAATTGACTGAACAAGCTAGTCAACTGACAGTACCAGGCAAGCTTCTTGCTAGTGCCTCTGATGGGTCTTATCCTAACCAGTGGGAACAGTCTCCAGAACACTTGGGCCATTCTTCTTAACGACAGCTGGTGGTCAACACTGATCAAGACCTGTAGGGCCTTTGCTCCCAGAAGTTCCCATCACAGAACCTGGAACATATTTAAAAGATAAAAAATGGAGGCCAACATGGGCTAAAATACTTGCCTACCTTGTCAAAGGAGTGAAGCAACAGAGATATATAAAGACTTACTCCCACATTTGTCCAAAGGGACTTGGAATATTGTATAATAAAGGATAGCACAGGATGAAATGTCAATACAGAAGGAATAGAGAATAGCTCATTGATATGGAATTTAACTTTGGGAATTAAAGTTCATTCACATAATGATAGTGGTTTTATCAAAACTAGTAAAGGAGAATGCAATCTACTGTCATCAAAAGCTCATGTCACTGGCATATGTAGAAATAGAAAAACGACTTAGTCACTCCTGACCTCAAATATATTTGAAATAGTGACCATGCATAGCTCATGAGTCAGTGAATATTTTATAAAATATAGATATTTCACATAGAGTAATTTGTAGTTGTTGCTTTTCTTTTCTTTTCCCTCCCTCCCTTCCTTTTTTCCTTCCTTATATTTTTTCCGAGTGTGTTTAAATCATGAACTTCCAGTGGAAATCACTTTTACTATGTTTTTGAGAATCATACACTCCAAGCTGTATAAAACATCCTAATCTCTGCCTAAAAATATAGACACCATTTTAGGGAAGAATAAATATACATTTTGCTTACAAGTTGTCTTTCTGAAATATTTTCTTTTTCAATCCCCAAATACCTTTCTTGTCAAGATAGTGCAACAGTGTTTGGAAAGCATTAACACACCAACAGATGCTCAGAATCAAATGACTTAATAGGCATAAACTTTTTCTCAAATAATTGCAAAGCTTTGGTTTAGCCTTTTGCATACCTTGCATAGTTAATTACCTAGGCCTTAATGTTTACATGCAATGAGAGTATCTACAGCTATAAACTACATAATTTATAATTGATGTAAATGGGTGTTATTATGTCAATTAGGCAGCTGTGTCCTCCACCTCTTGGTAAACAGCTTTGAGTGATAAACTGAGTTCGAAGAGAGGTACCTTCTTTTCTTCATAATAGATAAAAATAAATTACCTAGGTAGACCAGGCTGTCCAATTGTTCTCTGGTGAGGTGGATGGAAAATCCAAACCCCTTCTTTTGACCTGTTGACTGCAGCAAATGGTCAATTTCGTCACGCAGCATTGCCATAGCTTCTGGGTGCCGTAGAAGGTAATACATCGCCCAGAACATAGTTGGAATAGTGTTTGTCACAGAGGCCCAGAGAAAGCCTAAATGATGTGCTGGGAGAAAATAAGTGAAAAGGAAGATTAATAGCGTTTATTACACTGATTAGATTTGCAGTGTGCTAATTAAAAGATGTTAGGACACAGACCCAGCCAAGGATCAGTGCATGCTAATGAGGACCAATAGGCTTCTGAAGTCTAATTTTCTGCTTAATGAGAATAGTTTAAAATGTAATGTGTGTGGGGGGGGCGGGGAGGTGGGGGAAGAGATAAGAGGAGTAAATGCAGCTTAGTTATACTCTGTCTCATTATCACCATTAAGTATCTTGTTTTACCACCTCAGCAAAAGAAAAAAAAAAAATCAATTATCACAGAGGGTTGTTTCAGAGTAAAACATTTTATCATTAGCCAATTAGAAAGAGCATAAAAATTTTCAAGGTCGCCATTTTGTCTTTTTATTTCAAAGGTCTACTGTAAATTATTTTATTTTAGACAAGTAATCATTCAGAAGTTTCTTACCTCCTATTTCAAAGTCCTTGGGCATATAGTATTTCTCCAGGATATCTTGCCTCATTTGAACAACTTCTGACCATCCTCGTATCTTAGCTAAGTTTTCTGACGTCAAGAGTTTTATAAGTTTCTTTCGAATAGACTTGACGTTTCCTAGAAGTTCAATGGGTATGTCTGATGCTAAATATGGGAATTTATCATCAAATTTTAACAAATCTTCTCTTAGCTCAGTAATATATTTTTTCCTATCGCCAGCAAGAAGTTTTCCATGTATGGTTGTAAATGTGATCTCAAATATTAGTGAGCTGCAGAATGTCAACAGGTGTGCCATGTCCCAATTTGTAGTTTTTAATAGTTGGGATTCAAAAACTTGCTTTATATTCTGCACCATGTTTTCCATGAGTACGTCCAAAGATTTCCCTCTTAAAAGTTGATAGCAGACGTGAAGCTCGTTGTTCAGGTCATCATTGGTTATCAACTTTTTTATGGAAAATACTTTCACTGATATTTTATTACTAAACACTCGAAAGCTTAATTTCTGATTTTTCATCACTGACTGGAACTGGAAAGGGTCCAGGATAAATGTTATGTACTTTCCTAAAAGAAATAAATGAGAATATGAGCTCATTTGGTAGCAAAAAACAAAACAAAACAAAAAAATCCCTGAAATTTGAAAGTATTTTAATCAAAATTAGAAAGACTTTAATAACTAATATCTAGAAAGGTGCAAAGTTTAATAAAAATCCATTTTATTCACAGGTCCACTACCTGTTTCCTTTTAAAATGGAAGACAATGGGAAAAACTCTAGAAGTTTGAAGTTAAATATTTTGAAATTCTTAAGAACTTTTAAAAACATAATTTACTTTTCGAATCTTTATTTTAACTAAGTACCCAAATATTTAAATTATTCTTTAAACGTTCTTAGAATCTTTTGACTTAAACAATTCTCATATTTTCCCTCAACAATATAAACAGAAAACAGACAAATCAAATTGGTAAGATGCCATTACATTACTGATTATTTATACTTCGTAAAGAGCTTTTTCATACTTGGTATCATCTTAGCTTTGGTTGGATACAATAATTTTAATTCAAATAAATGAAGATGTGGTATGAAGCAGGTACTCACAAATGAATGTCTAACTAACAGCAAATCACAAATGCCAGCATTTTCATTTTCATAGACGAGAAAATAGCGCTCAGGGAGATTTAGTAACATGTCCAAGGTCACATACTGATTTGTGACTGAAACAGGATTCCAATTCCAATTCCATTCATGCATTCACCCATTCATTCATGCATTTATTTAAAATTTATTGAGATCCAGATACTTGGTCGGAGATTTTTGCTCTTGAGATATAAAGATGTAAAGAAATCGTATCATTATGGATAGTGATAAAGAAGAGATGTGAACACAATGGAAGTGAAGCAGAAAGTGGAATCTGCTTCAGTCGGCCTGGAGTTATCAGCAAGAGTACTTTGGGGTGGTGACATCTGGTCTTTTCATATATCAGTGTTGTCCAACCTTACCTGATTAAAAGACTTAGGATGCTGGTTAAAAGTACAGATTCTTGCCTGATTCTGATTCATAGGTGGGACCTAAAGTCTCTATTTTTGACAAGGGCCTCAAGTGATTCTTATAAAAAGGCACACTGAGGAACACAGTCATACTATGGTCTGTCTCTCAAAACTGGCAGACTTTGGAGAGTTTCTAGCCCCACCCCTCACCAGCATTTATCGTTGAGAAAGCTGAAGAAAATCAGGAGAGGTTAAGGGCCAAGGTCGTGCTGCCATTTTTAGTGCCAGAGCCTTGACAAGAAGTCACTCCCTGTGCCCTGTTCTCTTCTTTACACCGTACTGATTTCTGCTCACAGGAGTGCTGTTTTAAGACTTCTAACTAGAAGTATTACGCAGATAGTACTCAATAATAACATCTAATAAGCCTTTCCTTTTCAAGAATACACATGAAGTTTAGATGATCCTACAAATTTTAACACCTATTTATTGTCTTCTAGAAAACAATAAATAATTAGACATTAAAGTTTATAGGATCATCTACACTTTCCTCCTCACCTCATCATTCTTCTCTGTGTGTGTGTGTATGTATGTATGTGTGTAGCTTTCTTAGATGAACTTCTCACATGTTATTTCCGGTAACTTAGCATCACAAATTAAATTCAATTTGGTACAAGATTTAGGATAATTTTTTGAATTACTCTTTGAATTCAATTTTTTGAATATTTTGAATAATTTTCAACTTAATCCTAGAAACAGGATAAATGCTTTTTGGTTTTATAATTTTAAAACATAACAAGTTTTTAATATACATAAATATATATGTGCTATGATTTTTTTCTAGAAATAAATCATGTGGCTTGAATTTTATTCACTCTATTTCTCCTTGATTTATTTAATAAGGTGGGCCAATCTAGGAACGAGGGTAAAGCTGGAAGTGGATACTCATTCTGGTCAGATCCCAAAGCTGCATCTACAAAGTAAACTGGATTTTTTTTTTCCTTAGGGAGAGCAAAAAGGACTCAACTGGATTTGGGCATATTTTGTGACACCTGCTTTGCCATAGCAGCTTAATTAAATAAAATTGCCAGCATCTGCCTGACAAATAATTGAAAAAACGAGTCAATTCTCTTATTTTCCAAAAGATATAATTTTAGGCAAAGCTGTGTATTTTCACAGGTGGTGATTCATACTGTTCTCCTTTCACTAAATAAAAGGATTTTGCTGAATACCTTTAGGGTTATTTTAAATTAATCACTAAAATTCAGAGAATGTATAAAAGGCTCAGTTTGTAAAACAATTTTTAGAGAATATTTTGTATTTTTTTCTACCCATTTTCTACATTCATCAAAATCTAAGTGGAAAGACAAAACTATACTCAGCCATGACAGCATGAGCTATGGCCATTGGCCCACTGAAGTAGAGGCTGCATGCACGTTAGAGTTTTAGTCTACAATTCATCACAAATACACACATACTCCCTCTCCCTGTCTTTCTCCATCTCTTCTTGAGGGTGAGGCTATGGGAAGAAACAATGAGATTGATTTCAAAGAAAAGGAATAAAAGCTAAATGTGGAAAAATTGGTTCTGGTTAGCAACTAATTATTAATATATATATATTTTAAATAAGCAATTGTTGCATATAAGTTCTTTTAAATCATTACTGCTTTGTTTAAAGCAATTTGTTTGTAGATAAAATTCTCACTCTTTTCAAGGCTCTTTACACTGCAGGATCTGTATTTTCTCTTTCTCGTTCTTATTTTAATTTTCTTCAACATCGAGGCATTGTGTTTTACATACTATCTCTCTGTGTAAGATGTGGATTGCTTTAAAAGTAGATATTTTGATTTTCTGGATTTTACTTTTCAAGTGGGTTTGGAAGTACTAATAACCCTGGAGATGTTAGCTGGCTTTCCAACTTTTAATCTTCAGTATAAACAATTTAGGCTAAGTTTTCCAAAATTAATATTAATTTAAACCATCTGTCCACCATCTGCTAATGTGAGATGCAAAACCAGAGTTTCTTTGTAATCTTTAATCAGACAGTTAGGAAAACACATATACATTCATAAAATGAATTTAAATTTCTTAACAAAGGAAATCTGAAAAGTTATTCTGAAAGCCATGTATTCTTGGAGTAAAATTAACTTTTGCTCCAGTTTGATTTTATGTAAACGAATGCCAAGTGTCAATGGGCAAGTTGCCTAGTTCACAAAGATCACAAGGTAGAAACAATATCCTTTGGCATATTTTCAAAAGAGAGAAGAATGCTGTCAGCAATTGATACAAAATATTGATTTAAAGAATTTCAGAGTTTGCATTTGTCTAAAATATAAATTTCAAAATGGGGCTCACTTCTGCAAAAACAATATACGTGTATACATATATAAAATCATCGTTTTAAACAGTAAATTTGAAATTGGATCAAAATTTTTAATGTCTCCTTTGCCAATAATTTCATTCTCTTCTCTTTTTGGGAGCTGACTAGGCCTTAAGATATTAACTTTAGCATTACTGTACAACCTGCACATGATCCTTTACTAACTCAGCCGCCTTTTCACTTCCTTCAACATTACTTCTTTTAGGAAGGTGAAGCTACATCATGCAAAGTATGTCAGTAAATGTTAAAAAAAAAAAACTGACCTAATAGGTCATTCACCCTGATATCTTATACACAAGAAGTTTTACATCCGGATCATTATAAATTGAATTTTGATGTTTTCATTTCAGATATTTGGTGCTGTAGAGAGACACACCCAGGGGAATTCAGAACAACTGTTTGGAATACAAATGCCCACTCAAGGAATATGAGATAAATTTGAATTTAAAAAAAATTTTCCGTAATTATAAGCTTTTAATCTCCATGTTTAGCTGGTTCTTCAACAGAATTTTTAAATCTCAAGCCAGAAATATTAGTTGGAAGAGTGGAATATGAACCAACTCTTACTTTATGGGGTTGACCACATTCCATACTCCCCCTCTTATTAGGGAGATTTCACTAGCTGGTGACAATGATGTGCAGTGGTGCTTCACTGGGGTGACATCTAGGGAAAATGATTCCGCTGCACCACCACACAAAACCAATTAGAGAACTATTTTCTGCGACAGGTCATGAATTTATGTGGTTTCTCATGAAAAGATGTACCTTTTAATTTCTTTATTAAGATGACATCCATGTCCCTTGCGACTTTTTGGGATGACAATCATTTGCTCATCATCCAAGAACATACACTCACTGAAATCACATTATGGGACAAGGGTGGAAGACTCTGTTCCTCATTTCACATTTTCCAAATGAGCTATTTTGCAAACTGATCATTAGAACCACATACATTAACAAGACTTCTTGACAGGAATTTATTCAAACTCTAGTAAGAAGCCAAAGGGAAGTAGTGGTACATATTCAACGGTGGTTGTCTATTGTTGGGTTCAAAAACACAACTACGGTCAAATTATTTAGACATTAGAAATCCAGCAAGCTTCTCAGTATCTGAGATTAAGATATCAAGTGTCAGCAGAAATTGGTTGTTTTTTGAAAAGTGAATAAAATTATTCAAATCTGCCACAAGTTTCTGCTTAATCATTTTAGGTTATTTTTGTATAATGTATCAACAAGGAAAACTGAAAATTTCAATAATGTGTTCAATCTACTCATTACAACATAAGGTTTAATTTTTTAAAGTAAGAGTGACTTTTTTTTAAAGTGAAGAACATAGTTTTGTATTATGAAGCCAAAAGCTCACTTAGAATAGAAGCACCAGCTATGGCCTTTATTTGTATTACAGTAAGTATTTTATTAGCTCTAAGGTTTTGGGATTTTCCTCATGAAATATTTATTGTGACTCAATCAGTGCTGAGCTCTGGACTAAATGCTGGCAATAGAAGGGCTAGAGAATAATGAAGGGAAATAGACAACTGAATTAGCAAGAAATTCACAATTTATTAAATGCTGTGATACTGGGAGTAATTGGAGCCTGGAGAAGAGGCATTGAACCTAACAGGGGAGGGGAAACGATCAGTGAAGGCTTTTGGGAGGAAGGGATATGTGACTATGGCCTCAAAAGATGAGTCCATGTCAGACATCTTTTGAGGATGACTCAAAAAGAGAACAGCATTCTGGCAGAAAGAACAGGGAGAGAAAACACAGAGGCACAACAGGGCATGGTGTGTGAGGGGGAAATTTCAAACAACTTAGTGCATTAATGGTACATTAAACACAAGGCGAGCAGTAGCAAGAGACAAGGCTGGAGAGGCAAGTGGAGCCCAGATTTTGGGGAGCCTTGTGAAGATTACATTATATACTACAATTTCTCTATTTTTAAGATGTATGATTTTTTTATTGCAATTTTTCTGAAATCAGAGTGTATACAATTACTGTCGAAGGAGACTTATCAGCTGCCAGGCAAAGGAGTAAGTTGCAGTGAAATGAATACTGCCTGTTCATGGGAGAACTCAACCACGCTGACATTTCATCCACTTGAATCATTTTTTTCTCCCAATTACATTAAAATGGTAGTACTGAAATGAAGTTGCTCTATGTACAAAACGTCACTTCAAAGTAATTACAGTATGAAGAAATTAGCTGAACTTTTTAGGAATAGAACATAAAATTCCAGGGCTGGATAGAGGAAGATAGAGGGGGTTTAGCAAAGAAAGAGGCATGTGTAAAGATGACCCAGATAATGAATACTAAGAGTCAGTGTCAAGAGAGTGAAGGAATAGAGTGTTTCTAGAAGGAATGAGGGATCAGCACTGTCAAACCAGCTAGATAGGTCTAGTCAGGTGAGGGCCCATTAACGACCTCAGCAAAGCAGAAGGCTGGTTACGGTCAGGAGGTCTCTAGGAGACAAGCAACTAGTGGCAGCAAATGTAGGTAACTCTTGAAAAATCTGGATGTAAAAGAGAAAAAAAAAGTGAAAAATAACTATAAGGAGAATATAGGAGAATCTTAAGCATGATTATAAGCTAAGGGTAAGGACCCAAGAAAAAAATGAAGACATATGTGTGAGAGGAATAAAAAATGAAATGCCAGCCCAGAGGAGGAAGGAAGTGAGGGTCATGGGGACATGTAAATGGGTATCTTGAACATTCTTTGAAATTGAAGAAAAGGTGGTAAGGACAGTTATGAGACATGGGTACATTCGGTCGATTTGTGGGGATCTGAGTGAGATCATATCTGATGTCTTCAGTTTTCTAAGGAAGGAGAGTGACCTGTGTTATCAGAGCGCAGTGAGAGATGGGGAGCTGGAACATAGCCTTTTCCTGCCCTCCCACCAGCACACCCAACCAGAAGTCAGAGGGCAAAGGGGTATGTATAATCTAGTCTATAGAGATCAGCCTTCCGGGATATCCACAGGACAGACAAAAGAGAAGAGAAGGAATACTTAGCCCAGGTGATAAGCTGATGCAGAAGACTGTGTGCAAAGATGACTACGATAAATTCCTTCTCTCTCTCTACATGTGCTCCTTTGCAATGTGACTTTGCCACCCCATCCAGGAAGACGTGGACTCTATTTCCCTGCTCTTGAATCTGAGGCAGGCTGTGACTTGCTCTGACTAATAGAATGTGCTAAAATTGAGGTTTTGTAATATCTGAGCCTGGGCCTCTAGAGGCCTTGCAGCATTTCCTCTCACCCTCTTGAAACACTAGCTACCATGTAAGGACGTCTTCTTGAGGATGAAACATCATGTGGTGAAGGAGGCCCAGCCAGCCATGTATGGAGGCCATCTTGGACTGTCTTGCCCCAGCCAAGCAGCCTGATGACTCAAGCCACACAAGTTACCCAGGCAAGATCAGTTGTTGTTTTAAGGCATTAAATTTGGGGGAGGTTTTTTATGCAGCAATAGATAGCTGATATAGCTGGATAGCATGGGCTTAAAGGAGGATGAGCTAAGAACATTTCGGCTTCTCTACTCAGCCCTATAATGTTGGGATATGTAGTAATATTGCTGTGTTTCTTTTTTTTCTTGTTTCGTAAACATTTTATTGAAGTTAGAAGCATAACAAACATTTTTAAATTAAAAATACATTCTAAATCAGTGGTTGCTAGGGGCTCAGGGGAAGGGGAAGAGGAATGAGTATGCGGAACACGGGAATTTTAGGGCAGTGAAACTATTCTGTATGATACTGCAATGGTGGATACATGACATTATACATTTGTCAAAACCCAAATGACTGTACAACACAAAGAGTGGACTCTAATGTAAACTACAGACTTTTAATAATGTATCAACATTGGCTCATCAGTTGTAATAAATGTACCACAGTAATATAAGATGTTAATAATAGGAGAAACTATGATCAGGGGAAAGAGGGTATATATATAGTACTACAGATAGTACCGTCTGTACTATCTGATCAATTATCTGTAAACCTAAAACTGCTCTACAAAATAAAGTCCATTAATACATTCTATTTTTTTTTTTAACTATTCTTAAAAGCAAATCAAACCAAACCAAACCATAGAGTTCTGTACTATCATTCGCTTCATAATGATGTTTGGGTCAACAACAGACCACATATATGATGGTGGTTCCATAAGATTGGTATCATATAGCCTAGGTGTGTAGTAGGCTATACCATCTAGGTTTCTTTAAGTACACACTATGATGTTCATACAATGACAAAATCACCTAACAACTCATTTCTCAGAACATATCCTTGTTATTAAGCGATGCATGACTGTAATTTGTTTTTTAATGTGAGGACTGCTATACTCAAAAATATAGCTTCCTTTTGTATTAGCTCTACAAATAAAAAAAATATAAAATTATGCAATATTTTGCTTAGAGAAAAATATGACATTAAAGAATAAATAAGAAATTATGGCATATGTAAGGTACTTATAGAAGTGCTGCTTACCCGCAAGGAGAATGGTGAAAATGTCACCATGTTGCTTTTGAAGAGTTTTCAAGAAACCTAATGCATCTTTTTGTAATTTCAGGGACTCTCCAAGGTAAGGAAGCCAGCCTTTTATCAATGGAGGCTCACCAGGTCTCCTATAAGGAAAAAAAAAGGAAGAAAAATAAAAAATAAATAATTCTTATTTTAATGTATGTGGGTTATTAATCTAGTCTAGAAGTGGATTGGATGAATTGCACTGCTTCTTTGAATTCTCTTATTCAATGATTCTTATATAATTACACACATGTATTTATTGAGCCTCCACTATGTGTGGCTCTGGGGTAGACAGTTCAATTCACAGCTTTTGGAGATCAACTTTTTAAAGAAATTTTGTCTTATGAGGCCCACATGGCTGGCTGAAATGACAGATGCATTCAGTAAACATCTTGTGTGAGAGCTCTTGCTGCGCTCGGGGTGTTAGATGTCAGGTAGTTTAGTTGCCAAAGTGAAGCTCTTTGTTATCAGATGTCACTTAGACTGGAATTACATAACTGGAAGAGAGACAATAATCTTGAAGAATCTTTTATGCTATAGAGAACAATTAAAACCTCAACATTATTTCCATGAAGTATATTTTGATATATTCTTTTATGAAGCTTTTTATTAAAACTACAAACGAACAGGAATATTTGCTAAATTTTACAAGGCAATTTTTAACAGATGAAGCATATTCAAGGAAATACCGAAACACTATGAATTAAAAAACAAGTTTCTTCTTTTTTGACCTCTAATCCTAGCAAAACTGGACTTCAAAATTTCTTCCTAGTCATCTATTTGGTGAACTCTGATTTAAAGTAAAAAAAATTAAAAAATCCAAAGCCATTTTATCCTAGAAAGGATTAAAACAAATATTCAAGAGAACTCTGATGATTCTCTATCCCATCTGTGAAGATGACTTATACTACATGCAATGCAACCCATTTTGATTAATCACAAGATATTACTAGCTCAGATCTAATCAAAGACCAAGATTATGATTATTCTCAGCATGGACTTTTATGTAGCTAGATTAACCCTATCAGAAGCTTTTCTTTTCCCACAACCCAAAGTGGCAGAATTAAACTTAAAAAATAAACATCGGATCCGTCAGGGGAAAAGGACAAACCAAACAAAATAAATCCGAGATGTGATATAAATAAAGGAAATAGGTATCAAAACTTTGCTTTCTGTTTTTAGAAGACAATTTACCTTTATACTAATTTACAGTGTATTGTAAATTAGCATGCTGTTGTTTAACCACTTATACTTAGAAATAGGAAGACAGGAAACAGCATAGAAATGTGCATCTTATTCTTCAGGCTTTTCCCCATTATTTTCTTGAATGCAACCTTTAGCAATGGAGACTTGCTTTTTTGAGGAATATAAAAGTGTACCAAGAAAATATTGTAATGGTCAATTTTATATCCAAAGATTAAACAAGAAGAGACCATACATATGACTGTGGAGTAGGATCCCCAAGTTAGAAACTGCTGTAGCCCGAGTTCTACTAAGCAATGACTCTCAAAATTGGCAAGTGATCTAGTTCACGAAATTTCCTTTCAAAATATTCACTCTCTTCCTTGGTCTACTTTTACTCTGTTTTGTTCACTGTTGCTTGAACATTGCATTGTGACAAAGATTTTGAAAGACTTTTTGTCATATTCTAATTTAATGCAACTAATTTCATCCTCTATGCTGTCATTTGGTCAAAAGCTGTCATCCTTCACAGAGTTTCCACAGCAGGGGGTGGGGGTAAGCTGGAGATTAGAAATCCACTGGGAATATTAACTTCCCCTTCAGAGTTAGGTAAACACCTTAAGATGCCATTTTATTGTTATAAAGATGAGAGGGTCCTCATTTCTTACAGTTGTGCTCATTTTGGCAGCAATAAGCTTAAAACTATTAAACACCATGTGACAACTATGCATATTTTCAGAAAAAAATATAGTGCTAGTTCAACTTATGACCCATCGAAGACAGGTAACAGAAATCTGTCTTCATCAGGATATTTGTAAAAATTATTTAGGGAGGAAAGATATCACCATAATGATCCAGAAAGGCCTGCTGACACCTGACACAGTGCAAATAATGCTATTTGTCTCTCTCACGCCCTGTGACTTTGAAAAGGAAATACCACTGCCCACTGCTCAGTGAGGGGATAGGATGCTTAATGCTTGTTGGGGATGGCCAAGTTCCAAAGCTTAAAAAGAACAGGTCCTGAAGCAACGCTAGATAACTTAAAAGAAAAAAATCAAAAAACTATGATCCATACCCCCTCTTATTCTCACTCAAACAATATGCACTTCCTCAAATATCCTTTTTACTATTTAAAAGACGACAAGAACACATCTTGAAGTTTATGCAAAGTGTCAAATATGGTCCAAATTTATCTGAAAGCAAATAGTGGAGAAGAATCTAAATACATAAAATAGCTATAAAATAAAAAAGACATTTAAGACATTTTTCTTTGGTTCAAAAGAAGCATATAAAATTTAAAAGAGTGGACCAATATAGAATACTTGGTTTCTAATGATATTTGAAGTTCATCATTAAGCTACACCTTTAGTTAAATAAATGGGTAAAAAATTTGGCTAGTGACCTGTCACACATTGTTCCCCTAGACATTTAAAGTTCAGCACTTTCCACGGAGATCTATACTTGTCAAGTTAATTTCTTCTTTTCTATTTTTCCTGTGATCATGCTAGGCTAGGAGTCCAAATTATTGTAACAACCTCCTAAGTAAGTGGTGAGCAACCTTTATACGTGTACATCAATTCAGAGAAAATAAAATTATGTGTTGATTAAAAGTGTTTAAAGACATAATATACTTGTATCAGGTCACCTAATATCTGTAGCAGTGCCTTAATAGTTTTTTATTTTTCCTATTTAGTAAATATTTTCTTCTGTATGTGGTTAAAATTACAGAAACTACACAACTGATGTGCATTGCAGTATCTGACCTTTTGAACAAACTTTCTTATTGAGTGTGGAACTTTTGAAGCTGTTCTCTTTTACCTTTCCTTAACTTACTTTGGAAGCTACTTAATTGGAAAATGTAATTTGCCTCGGAGTGATTCTTCAAACTGTATTCTTGAATCATTCTCTATTCTTCCGTTCTTCCTTGGCTCTAATGGCCGCACGAGAATAACTAAAAATGTTCCCACAACTCTTGAGAGTTGAGAATCAATATGCTCTTCAGGATATGGGGAGAGGGGACCTTACTGCAGGGCTATGGATGGGAGATCCCAAAAGAGGAGGAGTGGGTGGAGGACACGGCTGAGTCATGGCATACTAGCAGCCTCAGTGAGAGCCCAGGTGGGGCCAAGGAAGCACAGAACCACATGCATTACTTTGCTGGGAAACTAGGTGGGAGTTACAACCCACTGAGGGCACTTCAGTAGTGGATGCAAACGGGAGGGACCACGCACAAAGCTCTAGCCAGGAGGCAACCCCAGAAAGCCAAAGATGACCAGCATGAACATTTGCACAACAGGACTCACCAGAGCAATACGAAGGAAGGAGAAGGGAGAATCCTAAATCTCATTTAACATTTATACAAAAGAGATTAAGTTTTAAATCAGAAGTTACTAAATTATTTTCCACTGGGAATATTGAGTGTTTTCTGCCCTCAGCAGAAATAGGGGCTTATGAGAAATTTGAGTTCAGTTATAGAGAAATAAAATTACATTTCTGCACATCTGACTCATACTACGAAATTTAAAATCCAGTACACTAGCTATGTAGATGCTCAGTTTCTTCACGTGAGAATGAGAATAATAATATCAACCTTAGAGGTTGACCAACCAGGTTGAGGTAGAGCATTAGAAAGTAGCTGGTACACAGAGCAGGATTAATTTTCACTGTTACTCACATACCATAAGCAGTTGCATGTAAGTGGTTTTGCTCACCCATTCTCTGCCTGAACAGTTTCACTTGTCAACCCTCCCTGCTTATCTATACCTTTCATGGAGTTGCTCAGATTTGAAGAAAGGACCTCTCCATCCTTTGAATTATTGGCTAAATGAAGTTGTTAAATGCTCAGATACATATGGACTTGATAACTTCAGGTGAGCAGGCAAAAAGATGCTATGCAAAGAGCTGATCTTCGCAGGGAAAGAACTATCTTTATGTAGAAGAACAGCTTCAATGGGTATTTTTGGTTATGATGAGGTTCTCTGGGCATGGCCTGGTATAAGAGATAATGAAACCTCCCTGCACAAACTGCAAACAGGAATTTGGGGGTTTGGGATTAATGAACAAAAGAAACGAAGAGAGAAAGTGGAAGAATAGGGAACAAAATAGTGAGGTTGCATCATGGTAAGTTGCGACTCTGTGACAAGGGCAGTGACGGGACTAACGGCACGATGGGTGTGGGTTGCCTATAGGAACAGACATGATCAGTTTTTTTTTTGTTTTTTTTTTTGTGAGAAGGATTAGCCCTGAGCTGACATCTGTTGTCAATCCTCCTCTTTTCGCTGAGGAAGATTGGCCCTGGGCTAACACCCGTGCCCATCTTCCTCTACTTTATACGTGGGACACCTGCCACAGCATAGCTTGATAAGCAGTGTGCAGGTGTGTGTCCAGGATCTGAACCTGTGAACCCCGGGCCACCGAAGCAGAGCATGCAAAGTTATTTAACCACTACGCCACTAGGCCGGCCCCCAGACATGACCAATCTTCAATTCTCAGAAGTTGTTTGCTGGCCTTGGAGCCACATGGCCTTTTTCACCTCAAAACATTCAGTAAAAGTATATTATATACACCACACAAGCTTATGTCAGTGGTAGTTGAAAAAGTAGAGGGATTAGGGCAGTGTCTAGCTGAGGAACTTTATGGAGTGAAGTAAAAGGATCAAGGACTGCATGTGTAATGGGCAAAACATAGAGGGGAGACTGGGAACCTGAGAACACCAGCTCCTTAGCTTCATAAAGAATCATGTGGGTATTGAAAGGGGACCTTGGACTTCCCATCCCATGTGGGATAGAAATTTCAGACATGTTTATTGAAAGTATTTGTATAAATAAAAGTACTTGGACGTCCAAGGCTATAGTGACTCAGCAATTGGAGAACCTGGGTTAGCTGAAGAGCTGCTATCTGAGATAGGTGAGGGATAGAA